ATATATATAAAACAGAATGATATGGGTTGTTTTTATTCTCCCTTAGGGTCCTGAAGGTAAACCAGGACCTCCTGGGAATTCACTGGTGAGCCACTATAAAGTCATGTCCACCTTTATTAATTTGAGAATATATATATTTTTTTGCATATTTTTGTCAGTGTTCAGATGACATGCCTTTTAATAATTGGAAGAAAACTTAAACACATTATATATTATATAATGTAGCTCAGTTTTCTTTCTCTTCTAGCCTGGATCTAGTAAAGGAAGAGATGGTGTGGATGGTTTACCAGGAAGGCCTGGATCTAAGGTTTGACTATTTTGTTTCAATTTTAATCTGTAGAACTTTTCTAAATTATGGTGATATCGTCGTGAAGTCGTGGCCTAATGGTTAGAGAGTCGGACTCGTAACCCAAAGGTTGCAAGTTCAAGTCTCAGGTCCGGCAGGAATTGTGGGTGGGGGGAGTGAATGTACAGCGCTCTCTTCCACCTTCAATGCCACGACTGAGGTGCACCGAACCCCCGACTGCTCCCCGGGTGTGTTCATGGTGTGTGTGTGTGTGTTCACTGCTGTGTGTGTGCACTTAGGATGGGATAAATGCAGAGCACTAATTCCTAGTATGGGTAACCATACTTGGCCACATGTCACGTCACTTTTCACGTCACTTTTCATATGTGCTATTGTAATTGTTTTAAGTTATAATTTTCAGAGTTTTTGTGTGTACACAGGGTGAACCAGGACAGAAAGGGGACCCAAGTCCAGTGAGTAGACCTAATAAAAGCGATTTTGTGATAATTTAGCTTATGATTCATGATTTAAATTTCAGTGACATTAACTGAATTGCAGGGTGTGTGACCGGTGAACTTTCTTAAAGTGCATCAAATGTCTGCACGATGTCTGCTAATGAGTCTGTAGAACACCTTTGATTTATGATTTTGCTTAATGTCAGGTGAAAAAAAAGAATTTAGCTAAAATATGTTAAAAAATCCAACAATTATATGCACTTTCCTAAAGGTTATCTTTAGTTCTTGAAGGACAGATTATTATCGTAATTAGAGTGGCTGGAGTTAATGCTGCACTTTTCAGGGTTTTATGTGCATTCGTGTGTGTGTTCGTGTTTAACAGACAGGTGAGAAAGGAGATCCTGGACGTGCTGGGATTACTGGTATGCCTGGTTTACCTGGGACACCTGTGAGTATAGTAACATTTACAGCAGATATAAACCATAAAATCTCTATAATTTCTTCCTTTTTCCTAACTTCTGTTCTCTTCTCTTGTAGGGTAAACCTGGTGTTGATGGGAAACGTGGAGCAGCTGGAAAAGATGTAAGTTTAATATATTATTGTAGTTCTAAATGCTTTTGAACTTTTTATAAAACCAAACCACTGTTTTTTTTTTTCCAGGGAGATCAAGGACCAAAGGGTGATGAAGGGACAAAGGTGGGACAACAGACTTATATGAACTACAAATCCATTATATTTAAACGTTTAGTTCACCCACAAATGAAAATTTTATCAAAATTGACCCTCAGGCCATCCAAGATGTAGATGAGTTTGTTTCTTCATCAGAACAGATTTTGTGAAATTTAACATTACATCACTTTGTCACCAGTGGATCCTCTGCAAAAGCTGCATGTTTATTAAATTCATTATTATTTATATACCAGACCATAATAATTCTTGAAAAAGTGAAAAAGTCCTTTTTACCCTGTTGTTCTCTCACATCAAAATCCATATTCATATTTGTGTAAAACTGTTTTGGACTGTTTTCACTTGTAAACAGTGCTTGATCTGCCCATATTTCTCTCCTGATTCAGACAAGACAACTTTTTTCACTGGAGAAAGCAATATTATAGATAGAAGACTAATATTTTAGCTTTTCACTTCACGAGGCATTAATTGAAGTCGTGTGGATTGCTTGTGGATTATTGCGATTTTTAATCAGCTCATTCTGACGGCACCCATTCACTGCAGAGTATACATTGGTGAGCAAGTGATGTAATGCTAAATTTCTACAAAGATAAAGAAACAAATAAATGTATGGCCTACAGATGAGTACATTTTGATCAATTTTTTAAATTAAACTATTCCTTTCAGCTGAAATCTACTTGGCTAACATAGTTTCTTATTTTAATGCATAGGGTGAAAAAGGTGAACCTGGTGCAAATGTAAGTTAATCCAAAATCAGACACATCATAATGCAACAATACTTTCTTTAAATGCAATTTTAACTATGGTACAATCAAATGGTTTGTTTATATCCATTATGCCCATTATTCTTTATTTTTTGCCATTTTAACTGCTTAGGGAAATGAAGGTCAAAAAGGAGAGCCAGGATCTCCAGGCTTGCCAGGTCCTCCCATTGTCCTCCAAGATGTAATTATTTTTTCTTTGTTTTTTGAGCTTAGACAAACTTTACTTGCAACCATGACTGTTGTTAAATTACATTTGTGTTTGTTCTCAGGGTATGTCGATTGAGGACATTAAAAAGGCATTTCCCATACCAATGGGACCCCCGGGTGCGGTGGTGAGTGTCATATTGATAGCATTGTGAATACAAGCTTCTTTATCAAATAATCAACATAAAAAGGCTGGGCTTTCATGTTTTTCATGCATTTATATTGCACTGACTTTCAGTTCTTATGTGCATGTATGTATGTTTCTGTGTTTGTAGGGTCCTCCTGGGATGAAGGTAAAGTATAGCTAACCAAAAATCCTTGAAGAAATGAAACGCTTCTCAGACGATATGTAATTTTTCTCCTTTGGTTGGCAGGGAGAGAAAGGAGACATGGGTTTGAAAGGAGAGAAGGTATCAAAGCTTTCTACATCTCATTGACTGCACAAGATATCTCCATAAATCTATGCTGCAGAAGCAATGATAGTTGGCACTGTATTATTTAACAGGGTGATGCTGGCCCACCGGGCAGAGCTGTTGAAATGAAGGTTTGCATGGTTACTCAATGCCTATACATCATTTACTTCATTACAAAACTGATCTTTGGTGGTGTAAACATATTGTTATGTTCTATTTCAGGACATTGAAGGCTTGTTTGATTCATATGGTATTAAAGTAAGTGTGCTGTGTTTTTTATAAAGTTTGTGTTAACCCAGCAGGAGTTCTGAAGGCATAATGTCTGATTTTCTTACTTAAAACTGACATGATTATTTTTTTAAATGAGGAGGAGGGTTACTTTGTATCCTTCAGGCAACACTATGCAATGGAATGACTTGAATGAAATGTTTTATTTATTTAAATATTTGAAGCCAAATTGAATGACTGTATATTTTTACTGATATCAGAATACTGAATGTTAAAAAACATAAAAAGTTATAAAACATTATATATTAGTGCAATAAGTGTTTTACGAACTAATATCAGAATCTAATAAAATTGGATCCAGATTAACTTTCACTTCAATTTTGCTTAGATATTGAGCTTTAATATTTAATATTAGTTACATGCACTATTTTTATTCACATGAAATGTTAATATTTCATATTAATACTAAAAACACACTTTATAAATAAAAATATAAATATACATTTGGAACACGATAACTGCAAAATTCACAATTAAGGCTGCATCCATTACATCCATAACATAAAAATAATTTAAATGACTTTTTTTGTTTTGAGATGAAAATGTACTCACTAACAAATGAAAATCATAAAATAATTTTAAATTTACCATCAGGATATAGTGTGAACTGTGTACAAGAGCTTTTTACTTGTTTATAAAAGTCATTGCTACATTACTAACCATTTTATTGTCATCTCATATGAATTCTATATTTAAATGAATTGTAACAAATTTGAATTGCATTGATGTTACACTACAATAAAACATATCACATTTACAATAAAAAAACACACTTTCATAGCTCTCGCTGCTGAAGGCCTTGATTGACAGGCTGCTTCAGGATGGAATGGAGGAGCTTCTTCATGAGATCAGCACCAGCAGAAGAGTGAAAGGAGACAGACAGGAGCCGGACTCAAACGTCATCACTGAATACACCGTGAGTAGCCTCCTGAACTTACAAAACATCTCAGGTAAATGAAACTCTGATTACTAGTCAGATAGATTTTCTGTTTATGATAAATACCCACTATTAGCAATAATGTTCTTGCTGTATCTGAATCATAAGACCTCTTTCTAATCCACAGAGCTCAGTAAAGTACAGTCACCCACAAGAGTCATTACCTGATACAGATTTGGCTGAGGAAGAGACTGATCTTGAAGAGGGGCAGATGCCTGAGCCCAGTCCTGTAAGCATACATTCATTCCTGTATCAGTAATTACAGCACCATTATTCATAATCCATTTGTAACCAAACATCAACATACTTTATTCAGTTATTTTCAGATATACTTGACTGATTTGTTCTGATATAGTGTTATCTACATTTAATGCAAGCAATACAGTTGCCATTGTTTTTTAATGTGGCTTTGGTGCCTTGTCTTGTATTTTAAGAAGCCTGTTGTAGAAAAAGAAGTGGGTCCTATCCTTTCGAACATCTCTACTATTCACAAAAAGGCCAACCAGAGTGAAACCAAAGACAAGCTGGTAGATGTTGAAGAAAAGAAACTTGTGGAGACCAACTTCAGTGATGTTACACCTTTGAAATTTCTCCAAACCAACACTTCCTCTGAGAGGGTATGCTTACTAGTGATATTTAATGTTATTTATTGTATTGAAGCTCATTAAAGTGTGTTTTTAGTGTAGTTTAGATAGAAAAATGCAAAACTTCACCGCATCACTTGTCTTTTTTCAGATTCATTTGAACATAATTCCATTTATTGGCTGCTTTAAAAACAAGTTTAAAAAAATAAAACCTTTTTCACAGTTGGGCTCTGGGAAGGTAGAGGTAAGTATGGAGACAGTTTTTCACAGCCACGAGGACACGGGGAAGAAAACATCTGGAGAGAAGAAGAAAGGCAGAGAGAGGGGAAAGGTACACTGATTTAGCTTTGTTATATAGATGACTTTCAGTCTCGGTTCTGTGTTGTACTTACTGTAAATTAACAGAATATCAATTAATAAAGAGTCAAATTAGCCATAAGCAGGTTTTGGCTATTAAATAGACAAATGTCTTAATCCTGGTGAAAATTTAAATCTGTGCAGTAATAATAAAAACCTAACCAGACATAATTAGAACTGAACATTACAATTAAATATTAAATGTCATTAAATGTCATGGCCACTAACTTCCTAAATGTCTCTAAATATTTCTAATGAGTGTTATTTAAAGCCTTCTCATAAATTATGATGCTTCTCAACTGCTAAACTCTCAACCAGGGCAAAGGAAATAAAGGACGTCAAAAACGACAAAGGAAACGTTTGGTAAATGTTTCATCATCGCACCTAACCTGACATTCACACATCATTCATATTCAAGGGAGCTTAATAGTGACTACATGTGAACTTTTTGACTATTACATTGAACTTTATTTGTGTGATTACTTAAATATTCTGATGTACTAGAGTTATTACAGACTTGTCTAAAGATGCCTAAGTACTTCATACAAAAAAAAAGCATAAACCCTCAATGATTTATAAACAAACATTAAATGCACCTGTTTTTACCCATAATCATAATGTATAATTAATCCAACTAATATGATGCAAATTTCATTAATCACAGTCATTATACTCCCACTAAAAGTACAAAGAATGAATGAATATTCTGTCACCATTTTCTCACCTTCAAGCTGTATGACTTTAATGGAATTTTAATTTTGGGCGAATTATAACCACTTAAAATTCTCCATAAATCAAGTTGACTAATATTGTTATTTATTTTAGTCTGTAAATCATGTCTCTAATGTGTTTCCAATCTATTCTCACTGACACTTTTACATGTTTGTTTGTTCTCTGTGGACACATTAGTGTCAAAACAAATCTTTTTAGCTTCTGTCTAATAATGCTTGATCATTAGAAGGCAGAAATAATTTTTCTTACCACTGTAAATTACAGGAAGATCAAGACAACATAGAAGAGGAGGTTGAGGAAGCATCATATGACGATGAGGAATATGAATATGAGGTAAGTCTGTCACATGATCCTACTGTGAAATTTAATGTATGATGGCAAGTACACCGATGTGATTCATAATCAGATTTTGTCTATAATGTGTTGACACATTTATAATGAATTGAATGGGAACCGACATGTCAACCTACGCTAATCACCTGAGTTTACCTCATATCTCCCTCCCTCACACCCACACCAGAGAGTCCAATCACACCGTTCACGTCACACTTAACAGGGCCTTAATATAGTACTCCCACTCCACAGCCAAAAGAAGAAACAGTAATCACAACGTTTCTAATTAATGTTGAGTAATTCTTCTCATAATCTCTCATCACTTGCTTTCAGTTTAGGGAATTTTTTACACACTGAAGCCATTTTTTTCATGAACTTTTTACATCGATTTTTGAATGTTTTGTTCGTATCATGTCAGGACGAGCTGCCCACAGAAGAGCCCTTTCCCTCTCGAGAGGAGGAGGGTGAAGGGGAGGAGGTACAATACAATATGGTACAATATGGTTGTACAATATGTTATAGCACTGAGCTGAAGTTGTTGTTTTTTCTGTTGGAACTCTTGTTTTTGTCCTCAGGTAAAATACTCAGCAACAACTGCTATATACACACAAGAAAATGAGGTAAGAGTGTAAACCTTTCTTTTTAATATTACTAATAATTTTAAATGGTTATGTTTAGTAAGATGCTATAGAAATGCTATTAAAAAAATGTTAACATTTACATAGGGTGAAACATCTTCTCTGATTACACAGTATCCAGAGGAGATTACACTGGTAAGAATATACACTACCAACAGTTTGGGGTTGATAAGACTTTTTGATGTTTTGAAAAAGTGGTTATGCTTACCAAAGCTGCATTTTTATTGTAAAATATTATAATAACTGATTTCTATTTTACTATATTTCAAAATGTAATTTATTTCTGTGATGGCATCAGCAGCCATTACTTCAATTACTTCCAGTCTTCAATGTCATGTGATTCTTTAGAAATTATTCAAAAAAAAATTTTTGCATGACAAAATATTTGCCTTTATCAGTGAATTTCACCAGTGCAAACAATATTTTGCGCAAGTTCAAATGCATTTTAAACAGTCAACATCAGTGTATTAATATAAAGTGTATGTTTCAAGAACATGAAAAGAATAACTAATGAAACATCATCGTGAAAGTATCACACCGGCATCCCAGCATGCACTGCACTTGATTTTCAGTCATGATTCCTCTGGTTTGTGCACTTGCAATGCAGAATGTAACATTAAAAATGCTTCATTGTCGCTCTTACAGGTAAATATGCAGCCATTACTCCAGTCTTCAGTGTCACATGATCCTTCAGAAATAATTATAATATGCTGATTTGGTGCTCAAGAAACATTTCTATTATCAGTGTTGAAAACACTTGTGCTGCTTAATATTTTTTGTGAAAACATAGGTATATTTTTAATTAGGATTCTTTGAATGAAATGTTCAAAGGAATAGCATTTCTAATCATTTTTAAATCATAAAATGATTAATTTCTTTTAAAAATCTTTTACTGATCCAAATGTTTGAACAGTTTTATTTTTTTTGATCATTCATAATTTCTTTTTTGCTAACTTTAGCATGTCCTCTCAATGTGCTTTCAGATGGTTCACACAACAACAGCGAGTCCCCTGCTGTCATCAAAAGTCACAGAGCAGGTACTTCTTCGACCCTGTGTTAGTTTCAGCAGTTTACATGTTCTGCATATAATACACATTAACTAATTTTATGTGTTTTACAGAAGCCGCGTGAAACCACATTAATATCAGTGCTAAATACAACACAAACTGGAGAGGAGGTAAAAGTTTGTCTGTGATTTTGCTTTCTGGCTTCCACCTCTTTTGCCAAGACTTGCATGTGGCTTCAGTTTGAAGCATGAACTAACTAGAGCTTTGGAAATCCTTCTTTTAGCATGTCTGTTGGATGTTTTAGCTTATTGCAACTGATTAATTAAATTGTTTGAATCAGTTAATTGGCATATTTTTTGTAAAATGTCTTTAAATTGAATTTTTTATTGCATGACAAAATAATTGCCTTCACTTCATCAGTGAATTTCACCAGTGCAAACAATGTTCAAATGCATTTTAAACAGCCAACTTCAGTGTATAAATGTCAAGAATATAAAAAGTAACACACTGGCATCCCAGCATGCACTGCACTTGATTTTCAGTCATGATTCCTCTGGTTTGTGCACTTGCGATGCAGAATGACACATTAAACGTTCTTCATAGTCGCTCTTACAGATCAGCTACAGGTTTTCTTTAATATATTTATTTTCTTAACACAGGAGCTCCCCTAAACTCTGTAAGAGAGACATTCAAGTGTGTAGAAACTGTGAAGGGTAAAAGAGGGGGAGGATCTGACTGGCCGGCATTACTTTGGGAATGATGTCTTTCGTCCATGCTGCCTCCACCACGACTAGCGTTCAGTATGCTGCAGTGCCTTTGATAGATTGAGAAGAACCTCCAGCACTCTCTGAGGAGAGATCAGCCCAGTATAAACATAAAGAACAGATCTTGTAATGTGCTGTTTTTATACTTACTGAACAAATACAAGCTAAATCATCAATAATCCATATAAAAGTGACAACACAAAACACTCATGAATGGTTTGTGACATTATTCTAAGTTGTTTTTTTATAGAGAATCAAATCATTTGCCCTGACAGCTCATTCAACATCGATTTGTTCATCAGTTCCTTATTTATTAATAAGACTGAAAAAAGATTGTATTTTGTGTCTGCATATTTACTTTTTCATTTGGGGTAACATAATGTGCTACCTGTTTTCACTGGTGAAATTCAATGGCATATTGCTTTTCTTTCATATTTAATCTGTTTGTGCATGTCTGTCAGTAAATGTGTTCTTCTTAAACCAGTCTTAACCTGTTTCTGAGTCTTTATTGTGTTATGTGTGTTTAATTCTTTCACAATCATGTTTGCTTCATGATATTTTTAAATTATATTGATAAAATAAATTGGTACCATATCAATTATTGAACAATATTAAATATTTGAATTAATCGGTATCATTTAATAAAGCAATAAGCCCCAAGAAGCCGTGGTTTACAGTGAATTTATAACGGCTAAGGGGCGTTGTTAAGCACGACGTAAAGCGGAGTGCCTAAAACCCCCTTAGCTGTTATAAATTCACTGTAAACCACGGCTTCACGGGGCTTATTGCTTTTATAAAACGGTTATTCCATATACGTAGTAAGGTTTCACAAAATAAAACAAAGTGAAAAAAGTGTAATGATATTAATAAAAACATTATTCTTCCACCAATCAATGTAGTTCCTCAGAATCAGTTGTGGTTGCAACAAAGTGGTTGCCGAGCAACACACAAACGTAAACAAAGGTGTATGTTTGTAGAGTAATTTACAACAGCTTCGAACGTGGCTCAGCTAATCAGAATCAAGGACCGGAACTATCCGTTTTATAATTTTGCTTTTGTAATTGATTGTTTTTGCTCATTTCCCCCTATTTTTAAGTTAAGTTAATCGGTATTACTTTACAATAAGGGTTCATTTGTTAATATAAGTTAACTAACATGAACTAACAATAAACAATACTTCTAAAGCAATTATTAATCTTAGTTGATGTTAATCTTAACATTTACTAATAGATTTGTAGATCAAATTAGTTAATCAACTAACATGAACTTTTTATCCACTAACATAACAAAGGTTAATAAATGCTGTTAAAATATACTGCTATCAAGTGTTACCAGTTAATAAAAAAAATTTAATTTAATAACACTGTTTAATGCGATCTTTAGCAAATCTCAAAATGAATTTTTTTTTTGTTCTTCATATCTGTACATTATAAGGTTTTGGTGCCTAAATTCACTTTTAGCATTTAAAATTATTGATTTAACACTTGAGTTCAGTAAAGTAGTGCTAATGTAAATGTACATGAAACTCCTGTTTATAAGACTGTTTGGGTATAAACAGGTGAGCTTGTCCCACAAACGCGGGCTGGAAGAGGCAAGATCTAAAGTGAAGAGAAGTGCTCCTTCATCTGAGTTCATGGTAAAATCTTGTTCATAACTGTCTGCCTAATGTTTTAACAGGAGAATTTAATTTGCACATAGAATAAGCATCTTAATAAGGCATGAATCACGTGTGTCTTCTGCAGGCCTACATGCCTGGAACACCAGGAGGAGAAAACCGTTACAAACAAGGATCTAAGGTGATGAAAATTGAATTACAGCAACGTATTTAGTGCTTATGATTGAATACGCTCATCTTAGAGAGCTGCAGATGTGATTGCATGATGTAATGAAGGGAAATGGAGGGAACAAAGTCAAATTTTGTTATTGCATCTTCTTTTAGCGGTCTACCTCAGGTGCACAAGGCAAAAATAAGCTAAATGTGAGTGAGTTTAATCTACCTAAAAAATGAGGAATCCATAGAACTTAAAAGAATAGTTGACCCAAAACTGAAAATTTATTCACCCTCAGGCCATCCAAGATGTAGATTAGTTTGTTTCTTCATCTGAACAGATTTGAAGAAATCTTGCATTGCATCACTTGCTCACCAATGGATCCTCTGCAGTGAATGGGTGCCGTCAGAAGGAGAGTCCAAAGAGCTGATAAAAAACATCACAATAATTCAGAAGTAATCCACATGACTCCAGTCCATTAATTAATGTCTTGTGAAGTGAAAACAGTGAATCAAAAACAGTCCATAATCTAAATGCAGCAAATTTTCATTTTGGGGTGAACTATTCCTTTAAAATAATTACATTTATGAAGTCAACTCAACAATGCTTTGGAAAGAGATACAACCACAATAAAAAGTACTCACACTTGATATTTCTGTCACTCTTGTAGAAAAAGAAGCAAGAAAACAAAGACCCTGAGACTGTGACAGAGATGTACGGGGAAAGAGAGGGGGAAGAACAGGGGGAGAGAGAAGATGAAGTCTATCTTGAGAACAAAGAAAGGATTATTGAAGAGGAAAAGACAACTGAGGCACAGTGGGACATGGAGGAAGAGGATGGTGTGACTGAGACCAAGGAATACAGTTCAGGTGATGGTGACGAGGAGATAGAGGAAGAATTTGAGCTAGAGAGGGAGAGAGAGAGACAGGAGATGGAAAAAGAAAGGATGGAACTGGAACAAGAAAGAGAAGAAGAACTGGAAAGGGAGAGAGAGCTTGAGAGAGAGACAGAGATGGAGCAAGAAGAAAAGGAGGAGAGAGAGAGACAGTTACAAAGACAAAGAATGGAATGGGAGAGACAAAGAGAGAAGATGGAGAGAGAGAGGAAGGGAGAGACAGACCGAGAAGAAGACATGGGGCCCCGTATTTCCCACTGTGATTACCTTAAAGTAAGTATGAGCTTTAAAGTCTATAGGTTTCCAAATATTCAACATATCCGCAATATATAAATGTTATCTAATAATTGATTAATTTTGAATACATTCTATAATTCTAAAAAATAAATTAATTAATTAATTAACATTATTATATTATATTATATTATCATTCCATTTTTATTTCCATATGATGGTAAGTCACAGATTTTTTAGACTATTTTGATTGAACCATAGGAGAACCTTCTTTAATTATGATATACACATATAAAAACCTATTCCATGGTTATTTTCATTTCAATTAAATTTTTAATCCCAGATTTTCAGTGCGGTCTTATTATGTATATCTGTAAATAAATTGTGCATTGTATGTGCATTTTTTCCTTTCTTGTACAGGGACCTCCAGGTGAAAATGGAAAACCAGGCCCTAAGGTTCGGCAATCTTTTTCATTATAAGTCGGAACGATCTGTTCTTACTAATAAAGCATGATAGTCCCATCCTGAGCAATGTTCTCGTCAGCTCTTATTAGTGTCTAAGCTCTGTGTGTTCCCAAACCAAAGTCTGTTAGATAATCATTCCTGCTTTCTGATTGGACTGCAGCTCGCCCACACATACGACATCCCCGCCTCCTCATTCACAATGTTAGGGAATTATTACTGTCAATCAAACCGGGTGGGATTTCAGCAGTGCCCTTCCGCTTGCTTTGATGCCCCAGAGCTTTATTTTTACTCCTCCGTTCCTGAAATGGATTCAATGTCTTTATTAATATTGTAGTGCTGATGGGGAATTTCCAAACTCTCTTTGTTATTTGCCTTGTAAAAACTGTGTTTGTTAGTGGCTGATCACTTGTGAATTTGCACAGGGGGAGATTGGTGAAATAGGCCAGAAGGTACACTCATTTTCAACTTGGTGTCAATAACTGTTTATCCCATATTTCTTTAGCCTCCTTTGATCTGTTTATGTGTTTTTTTTTTTTTTTAGGGAGAACCTGGAACTGGTCACCGTGGGCCCATTGGTCAGGCCGGTCCACCAGGACAAAAGGTGATTGATTAAGCTGTGTACTTTATCAATGCTGTGAATTTAACTTCCCATAAAGTACAATCCAAAAAAGGAGAGGATACCAACATAAACCCAAACACAGTTAATAATAGAGATTGCTTAACTAACTAACATTTGAATGTTATGTACTTAGGGCGAGCCTGGAGAACCAGGACCACCTGGAGCACAGGGCATTCAGGGTATTCGTGGCAACCCTGGCATCCCGGGGTCACCAGGTCACAGAGGTCAGCCTGGTGACCCTGGAGAGCCAGGTAGAAAGGTAATGTCAGCCCATTCTCAATGTTGAGTAGTTACCTTATTGAATAACTTTGTTGATTTAAACACAAAAAATTAACTTGGATGAATGACTTTTTCATTTGTTTGCATGCTTTTAAAGGGTGATAGAGGGAGACGAGGGAAGAATGGCTCACCTGGTACTCCAGGTGCAATTGGTCCTCCTGGACAGCAGGTACCGCTTCTGAATTTTACTCTATATTTTACTACATTTACTCTGGAGGGAAAAGTGAAGAACTAGAATAAACTGAGAACTTGCTGTTCTTTTTACAGGGTCCTCCTGGCCCCTCTGGGGTTAATGGTGAAAAGGTAAGTCATTGCATGTAATGTTTATGCTTAATGATACCAGGTTAGGTTGAAATGCCCCACAACATAAATGTACACATGCATGAAACGTTTCATCTGCTATCACTAGGGAGACAGTATCCCAGGAGAACCAGGAGACAGAGGAATTCCTGGGCTCCCAGGTCGCAGGGTAATATTATGATAATTGCTCTTTTAGATTGTAGGTATAATTTTTTTTTTCTGTAATAGCATATTAGTTTGTTTGCTGAAGTTATTAAATTATGAATTCTAAAACCATGGGCCAGATTTACTAAACAGTGCCAATTTGTGTGAGACCGCAATCCCATGAAAGTGCTGATGGTAGATGAAAGACCTGCAAAAGATGTATTGACATTGTGCAAATGAAAGAACACAGACGCAGACAGCTCACTTCCATAATGACCAGCGCAATCTATCAAGACCAAATTAGCAACTATCACAGTCATGTTAAGCACAAAATAAGTTAAGACGTGTTTGTTTTTGCGGTGTTAAATAGTAAATAATAAATTGACCACTGCAAACCTTACTAAATCACGTTGCATTATTTACTTAAAATGCTCTCCTCCCATGAAGGTTGCATTTGGAAGGAAACTCCTACAAATGCATATGCAATAAGGTCAGCTGCAAAAATTACCATGCCTTTTCATCGCTAATTTTTCGCTGCATGCCTTTAGTGATTCCTGACAGTAGTTTTTAACACCAAAAGTTTGTACTGGTGCCAGCTGTTAGTAAATTTGGCCCCTAGTGTTCAAACAGTGGCATGTTTTTTTGTTCTCTCTCTGTGTTATTTGCTGTTAATTTTGTGTTAAATGCTTTTAACAACTCTTTCTCAACATTACAAGGGAGTCAAAGGCACTGTCGGTGCCAATGGGCCTCTAGGTCTCATGGTAAGTCACGTGTGATTCCAACTCATGGGCAGACACTATAGCACTTCTCAAATCCCTCAAATGTCACTATAGCATCCCTCAAATATTTTATTTAGTTTTGTTTTGTGTTTAATTTGATTACTTTGAATTTCTTTTTTCATTCATTCATTCTATATTTATTTATTTGTCTTGCTGTATTTATTCGTTCTATAGATTGATTTGTTCATTGTTTACGTAACATGGTGCAATAGACAGTGTACTGTATCAATGGTTTAGTGTATAGAAATGTAATCTGGTTACCATCTTGGTAGTAAGAGAAATGTATCCAATAAATTTTGGTATTTTTAGAAAGAAAACATATGATTGCTAAATAGAATATTGATAATATAACATTTGATACTCAATACCTAGCAAAACTTGCTGCATTATGCTGCAAGTGATTTTGTAACAATTACTTTATCTCATATTTTATATAATTTCTTATCACATTTTAGATTATTTCTTTCTTATCTTTCTTAACTCTGCTTTTTTTTCTCACATTTTTAAGTTACTTTGAATAAAAGCATCAGCTAAAAGCATAAATGTACATGGATTCAAAAAGCTTTCGTGCATCCATGCAGTGATCAATATTGAACATGTCAATATAGACTGTATTAAGAAAGTTAGATTTTGTGATTCTGTACAATGTGTTAACATCTCGTGACCTTTCTCTTTAATTAAGGGTCCTAAAGGCATGACAGGTATGAAAGGAGAAAAGGTGAGTGTCTATTTTTAACCCACCTAAGTTTGAAATTCGAAACAAGTTCAGAAGGTAGAAGGACTTTAAATATTAATAGCCAAGCCTACTCTGCCAGGGTCATTTTCTGTAGCTCAAAGACTTATAGGCAGCTTTGACAGCACTGCTGTGCTCACAGAGCCTCTCTTCTCTCTGTATTGACTTGCCAGTGCCTTCTCGTCAAGTCTTTCTCTGCTAAAGAAACTCTGCTGTGAACAGCACTTTCTTTTGACACACATACACTTGCACTAACGTCAAAATCTGCGTCAGTTGTGAGTGATATTGGTTTTATTTTCTTCAGCATAACTGTATGACAGACTCACATACAGTGAATATTTGTAGTGTCAAAACAATACCACTTACAACCCTAGAAACATTTAACAGCCCGTCTGACATATCAGTTGAGTCTCAATTGTTTAGAATGTACCCCAGACAAAATTAATAGAGACAAAACTTTTTGACTGGCAGGGTGACAAAGGTGTGACTGGTCACAGAGGAGACAAGGTAAGGACAGCATAAGTGTAGATTGGATACCTGCATCGTGTTTATTTTGATTCTTTCACCAACTACCATATTGGTTTCCTGGTTTTGTAGGGTAGTCCTCTCTCCATGCCAGGACCCAGAGGATATAAGGGTCTGAAAGGAGAGCCAGTGAGATATTTTTGTATTTTAATTTGTCATTTCACTATAATGTTTCCCACAAAGGCCATACTTGACTATGCAAACTCAACAATACGTGTTAGCTGTTTGAGTTTTTAGTTGTTTTTTAGTATAAATGACAGATACAGACCAAGGTATGTCTGAATTTTACATGGTAGGGTGAACGTGGGCTTCCAGGATTTGATGGAGATAAAGGAGAGAAGGGTGAAGATGGTCCACCTGGTGCAAAGGTATTTTCTAAACTGTTTTTCTATACCTGTAGAGATTCATGTACTTGGACCATAAAAAGTAAATTTCTAACACTTGTTTCATGTAATTTCAGGGGCTGAAGGGAGAAGCTGGTACTAAAGGAGGCATGGGGCCTTTTGGTGCACGTGGTCCAGTAGGACAAAAGGTCAAAATTAGCTCTACTATGAAGTTTATGCACTATATTGCTTGAAACTGCATTTTTTTTAGTATGGATTTTATTGTTTTATATGGCATGTTATATCACTGTAAATGTTTTTACTGTGGAAAATGCATTTTGGGAGTGAAGGTATAATTATTTTCTTAGGGAGATCCAGGGGAGCCAGGCGCCAATGGGGAAAAGGTAGCCTATTTCCTGTTTGTTGTGATAGTTTCAAAACAAATGTTTGAGATTTTGATATTTTTTGACATTTTGCTGCTGTAACTTTTGTTAAATATTACTGATTGGCTGAGATTTGTCACAGGGTCGTAATGGAGAACATGGATTGGATGGTGAGAAAGGTGATAAGGGAGACATGGGCCTGCAGGGCCGAAAGGGAGATCAGGTGAGAATATGAATCATCTGAATTAAATATTAATTAATAAGAAATTTCTCTGAGCAACAGGGGTACCTGAGAGGGAGAACACTGTTCCCTTAACCTTTCTTACTAACTACATTATTTAGATGAATGATTAAATAATTAAGTAGGCTTTCCTGTGAGTTGTTTTATTTTTAAAATTTTTATTTTATTTAAAAATTTTTTGAGTAACACATTATTCATGGACCTTGACTCATTGGTTTGTGTGTTCAGGGTGAGACAGGAGAGCCTGGTTTACCTGGAGATGCAGGAATTATAGGCGAGAAGGTATGAAATGTCAATCTTGTCTTTAGTTTTTGTGTTCTCACCTGTCTGTAACCATTGTTTCACAACACTTATTTTTCTGTAGGGCTTCAGAGGTTTCCCTGGTCGAATAGGGAGTCCAGGACTGGATGGAGAACAGGTATTTTTGATCCAATTTCATCTTAAATTGAAAATTGGATGAAATAAACCACTAAGAACATTTCCTTTGACTGTAAAACACAAGGGTGATTCTGGGGACCCTGGCAGGCCTGGTATTCCAGGACTAAACGGTCTCCCGGGACGAAAGGTGAGTCACTTACACACACAGATATTGATAACCTCATCATCATTGTAAGTTTAAGTATGAGATTAATTGTTATTGTTAATGTTTAGGGAGAAAAAGGTGATAGTGGTCTGAATGGTCTTGATGGAGGTCCTGGACAAAAAGGAGAGAAGGTAAAAAATTATAGGACCAGTGTTATTTCAAAATCTTTTAATAAAAGTAATAGTTCACCCAAAAATTCAAATTCAGTCATCATTTACTTATCTTCATATTCTTCTAAACCAGTTTAACTGGAATACAAACAAAGTGTTTTATTTTTAAATTCACTCTATTTCTTCCATACAACAGAAGCACATTGCAGTCAGAAGCTACAAACAAACTAAAACCATAAAAATCATAAACGTAGACCATATAACTAAAATCATATATTCAAAGTCTAATGATGTCATATGATATTTGTGTGAGGACAAGACCCAAATGTATGTTGTTACAAATGACTTGCATTCAGATGTATATATTAAATTACTAAAGGGTTATTACCATTAACTAAAACTATTGAAAACATTTTTGTTCATTTAAATTAACAAAAATTAAACTGAATTGAATTGAAACTAAAATGTTCATCTAAAAAAAATTACCAACTGGAAATAAAAACAAAACTTGCATAAAATGAGAACTGAAAAAATAAAAATAAATGCAAATTCAAAATATTAGTACTATAAATAAATAATACTAAAAAAACCATGTCATCATGTCACAATAGACATTAGAAAACCATACTTGCATCATCGTGTCAAATTTGAATATATGTAGATGAGGGCATGATCGCAGAATTTTCATTTTTGGATGAACTGTTGTTCTAAATAATCTTTCCCTGTCAAATATATTCATTTCAAAATCATTTATTTAACCCATTCTTCTGCAGGGTGCGACTGGTTTCCCAGGTTTCACTGGGTTTAAGGGGTCTCCTGGTGCACCAGGAACTAATGGGGCTCTGGGTCGGCCTGGTCCGGTTGGACCTAAAGGTGAAGTGGGACCAAAGGTATGACCAACCTGCCTACACTTAGACAATAATATCTACATGATAATAGAACTGAATTTATTATTCCTCTGTGTGATTCATCAGACCTCACAGATAGATAGATAAATAGTCAAGCCAGTGTAATTAGGGCCATCTTCATATCTCACTCAATCCCATGTGGAGGAACCGTGGAGGAGGACAAGGCCCTAATTAACCAAGAAAGACAGGATGAGAGAGAGATAGAGAGACGGGGGGTAGGAGCTATTTCTGCTGGGATGAAGATTTGAGCTATCAAACTAAACACTGCGTTAAGGCCGCCTTTAGCCACAATTAGGCATCTCTTGATGTTGATAGGAATGGAGAGGGTTCAGCAAGCTGCACTCACAGAGTCTCTTTAGTAAAGGTGAGCTGTACTTCAGCACAGAAGCAGCAGACAATCCTAAAACATGAGGCATTTTCTGTGAGTAAAGTTTATGCATTAAACATTATTGTAAAGTAGGGATGCACCGATACCACTTTTTCCAGTACTCGCCCGATACCGATACTTTTATTTTTGGTACTTGCCGATACCGATGCCGATACCTATATTTTTATTACATTTGTAAATTTTTTAAATATTGGGTACAGAAACCAAAAGGGTATGTATAATGTTAGTTGGTTAACTTCATTTATCAAATAGATACAGTCAAACCAAAATATATTCAGACACCTTCAACATTTCTCACATTACGTTTGGTATCGGGGCATTTTAACGAGTACGAGTACGAGTACAGGAGGCCAGTATCGGGCCCGATACCGATACCAGTATCGGTATCGGTGCATCCCTATTGTAAAGTATCACTCTGGTGCTTTTCTGTACTAAAACAGCCAATATATTTTTAAACATATTTATTTCAGTTGAAAATAAAGTAAACCATTGGTTTGGTTATGTGTAGCCTCAAGCTCAAAGCTGATTGGTCCAGGGTTAGTGATTGTTTCGTGGTGATGTGCAGCTTCTATGCATTATTACCTGTCCAGCATTGTTTGATTTGATTGTTTTATCTATCCCAGGGAGAGAAGGGAAGGAGAGGCAGAGGAAAGGCCTGTCAACGGGGACCCCCTGGAATTCCTGGCCTCAGAGGCCTGGATGTAATAAGGCATCTACACACAAATAGCTGTATCCTCCACTCAGTCAGGACTTAATCTATTCACAAACATGCTCAGTCTAAAGTTATACATATCCTCTATGCAGGGGGAAGTGGGAACCTCAGGCATGAAAGGAGAAAAAGGGGAGACTGGACTCAGTGTATGATGACAATGCCCTATTTCTATCATGTATATATCCTTATGGATTACAGATAGTAAAATTTCTATGTGATTAAATACTTAAATTTTCCCATTTGTTCAGGTGGAGGAAGTGAAGGATCTTGTGACAAAGGAGGTGGTTGAGAAGTGTGGTGAGTTTGTGTGTATGCAAGTTGCAAAGAGCAAATATTAAACACACAATGGACCTTAGTAGGGACTTCGTATTGAATTTACCGCAAATAAAAACAAAACAAAACTGAGAGGATATAGACACACTGCAAAAAAGAATAAAGTTAATGCTTTTATACATATATATATATATATATGTATAAAAGCATTAACTTTATTCTTTTTTGCAGTGTGTCTATATCCTCTCAGTTTTGTTTTGTTTTTATTTGCGGTAAATTCAATACGAAGTCCCTACTAAGGTCCATTGTGTGTTTAATATTTGCTCTTTGCAACTTGCATACACACAAACTCACCACACTTCTCAACCACCTCCTTTGTCACAAGATCCTTCACTTCCTCCACCTGAACAAATGGGAAAATTTAAGTATTTAATCACATAGAAATTTTACTATCTGTAATCCATAAGGATATATACATGATAGAAATAGGGCATTGTCATCATACACTGAGTCCAGTCTTATAATTTATATTATATATAAATATATTTAATATATACACAACGTTTTCCCTCTGAATTTAAGTTTTCTTATCCCACTGACAGATGTTTTTAAGAATAAACTTTATCAAAACTTCATTTTGATTTTTTTTTTCAGAAAATAAGACCTAATATTTAAGTAATTTTGCTTCTGAAGTAAATGTATCTTGATTAGAGAATGTTTAGATATTTGTACCAATGTTTTGATATTTTGTAAAACACTGAATAACAAAATAATTTTTTGCAGTGCATACAGTCTTACTGTATCTGATCTGACTGTTAGCTAAACAATGTCAAGATATACAACAATACAACCCACTGAATAGATTGTTTGTCTGTTCATGTTCAATTAAATATGGCTTCTACCTCCATAAAGAACGATTCAGTTGTGCACTGTACTGCAGTCCATTGAAGTGAAATTATGACTGAATAACAGAGCTTCATTAACACATGTACGTGGGTGGTTAGAAGTGTGTGTTTTTGTGTATTTGTGTGAGTTTGTGTCTATCAGTATTTGTGTTTGGAGGCCCCTGTTGTGAAGGCCTCAGGACCCCATGGGTTCCACCATCTGTTGTGTTTTTATGGTCTCTCTTACCGAAGAAAACCTGTGAAGAACTCCATGTTCGGAAGTCATTCATGAATGCGAAAACTAAATTGACAAAAATGGGACTGTTTTTATAATTTTATTGAAGTAATGACTTCTCTGGTTTAAAAAAATTATCAAACAATTGAATTACTGTCCATTTGAATGAAATTAAATGACTTAATGATGTTAGCCTAATGACGTTTGCCTAAAGCATGGTCATATTTCTAACTAAAGGAAAGGAAATACTCCTCATGGTGAAAACCAATGATCCAGATGAAGAGAGTATCCTAAGAGAAGAGAGAAGAACAGATTCTGCCTCTCCATTCTTGCTCACCCACCCCAAAGTGTGGGATGAAGAGTCAGAGGACGAGACCACTACAGTTCATCCTGCTGTTTCAGAGTCTGAGCCAACATTAGCATATGGCAACGTTACAAGTAGGTATATTCCTGCTTTGAACCAATATGTTATAACATGGTTTCTCTATTATGATATCATCCCTATAGTTTGTCCTCGGGCCTGGAAGGGTTTGGATGGGGAAACTGTAGTTTTATATAATCAGTTTTATGTTCATATGAACTTCTGCTGGGTCTTATGAACATTAGTCCTGATCTGGCATCTTTATGCATAAGTTCAGTCATGCATAAACACCATTCAGTTTTTCTTTCCCTGATGGAAAACAGGAAATCATACGCAAAAGTCATACGCAAAGATTCTGCATGGTCTACTTCTCTGTGTTATTTTAAGCAACTGAGTCACACTTCAAAAAAAGAAAAATCTGTTTTGTTTTTTTTAGTACCAACCATAAAGTAGTTGCTCATTGGAGCCTGATGTTAATTTCAACGATGAAAATAAGAACAAAGACATAGTACATGTTATCTAGTTGGCTACATTATTATATGATGTCCACTTCAGATGGAAGAAAAATAAATAATGAATAGACTTTTCAGGCAATCATATCCTAGCAACACTGGTTCTCATCATCAATTAAGTACGTCATAAAATAAATAAAGGAAAAAGAATAAAGAATGTAATAAAGAAAACCACTGATGACTGATAATGTTTCCATTACACAAACAATTGATCTTTATTATACAGTTAGTTAGTTAACAGTTAGTTCTGGACTTTATTTTTTTTATCTGTCTGTGTTTGCATGGTGCAGACAGTAAGTTAGTTGATTAATAGTGAGAATTTTTAGAGGCTCTTTCTCAATGATACATTGTTATGCCATACAGTAGGTGGTGACAACTGGCCGAGTCATTGAATCATTAATTCAACCAATTCATTCAAAAACAATGATTCATTTAGGATATAATGCCTCTACTGTGTCTGTGTGTTGCTTGGAGATCTGCAAAGGTTAATCAGGCGTCTTCTTCTTATTTAATAAAATCATGTCAACTAAAATCAGTATTTCATGTCCGTTTATTTAATTTATTCAGTAAATAGTCATGTAATATCAGAAAAATATACCATCATTAAGAAATAAACCCCATCCGGCTGACTTCTAGATGTTATCCTGTAACACATACATGTGATTATGTTTGTGCAACGACTCTGCATATTGATGTACTTGGTGTTAAAGGAATAGATCACTCCAAAATAAAAATTTGCTGAAAATGTACCCACCCTCAGGCCATCTAATGTGTAGATGACTTTGTTTTTTCTTCAGAAAAGATTTGGAGAAATTTAGAATTACATGACTTGTTCACAAATTAATCCTCTGCAGTGAATGGGTGCCGTCAGAATGGGAGCCAAACAGCTGATAAAAACATCACAATAATTCACAAGTAATCCACACGACTACAGTCCATCGATTAATGTCTTGTGAAGCAAAAAGCTGCATGCATAGCTTCAAACCATTATTTCTGGCTAAAATATGAGCCCTCTATCCATAATATTGCTTTCTCCAGTGAAAAAGTTATCTTGTCTGAAACAGGAAACCAAGCACCAGTTACCAAGTCCAAAACAGTTGAAAACAAATATGTCAGTAGATTTTGATGTGAGAAGACAACATAGAATATACTTTTTCTCTATAGAGGAAGTGTTATCATGGTGGATTTGTTAACAACAAACACATATCTTTTCATGTCACATTAACTGATGGACTGGAGTTGTGTGGATTACTTGTGGATTATTGTGATGTGATTATCAGCTGTTTTGGACTCTCATTCTGACGGCACTGCAGAGGATCCATTGGTGAGCAAGTGATGTAATGCTACATTTCTCCAAATCTGAACTAACTCATCTACATGTTGGATGGCTTGAGGATGAGCAAATTTGGGCAAACTATTCCTTTAAATGAAAAATCTGGATCTAATATAAGCTTTTCTGTTGCACTCAGGAGCCAGTACTGAGGGAGATGGAGAGCAGAGAGAAAAGAGACGTGCACTCAAACTCCACTCAGGTATGTGTGGAGTAAAAGAGGAGAACATCGTCCTCTGCTGACTGCTGCTCCAAGTGCTTTTAACCCGTTAATACAGCTAAAAACTGCTCACATAAGCGATACAGTCAGATTTTCTGAACAAATTAAACCTGGTCCTTGAATAAAAAGTATTTGCAATGGGAATTTTGGTTTTATGTCAGGGAAAGTAGTCCAAAAAGTACACAGTAATGATCCTGGCACCAAAAGCGCAACGCATTAGACATGGCCAAGATTATTTTATGCACTTCTTTTTTTTTTCCACAGTCTATTTCTGTCACATCCACGGCATAATATGAGACACAAGGAACGGAAACAGACAGATAAGAGCAGAATTAATCCACTGATAAAAATAACATTCAAATCATCACTCCGCAAGTGTGTTAAGCTTGCGTGTATACAAGTTCATATATGTGTGAAAAAGAGAAAGAGAGATAAGGCAGAGACAGAACATTTGACTGACAGTGACATTCAAGATAAATTTTGATTAAAAAGTGGAACCATTGTTAGATTATATTATTATATTATATATTTTAAATTATTCATAATTGTATTGATTTAATAAATTTTTTGAAACATTAATTTAGTTTGAATGAATTTATACTCCCTTGAAACTGATTAATTAATGCTGCCTCCATTAAATGCAGACCTAGCCGCTGATCTGTGCCTTGAACCCATGTCTGAGGGCCACTGCACTGAATACGTCCTGCTCTGGTACTACTACACTGTCTCAGGAGACTGCCGTCCCTTTGTGTATGGTGGCTGTGGAGGAAATAGGAACCGCTTCAGCTCCAAACAGGGCTGTGAGAGTCAATGTATTCTGGGAAGGAGAGGTAAAGAGCCAATCAGAATTCAGACTTCAGGTTCCAATATAAATGATCAGAGGTGATTGTTCGAAAGATGCTAAAGACATTTTTTTTTTATTAAAATTAATTTAATTCAATTTTCTTATCTATTTACAGATTTTGGATCCTGAGGAGGAGAGATGTGCTATTTTTAACAGTTAAACTGAATTCTATCTCACAAAAAATACTGTTTTTGTACATTGCCATGATGCCATCCTATATGTATATTAGTTTATAACAGCTTTATATAGCAGAAAAAAAATTTATACTACATCATGTTTGCATTTTACTTCTACAGTACTACACATTGGTTGCACTGTTGTAGTTATTTCTTACAAATATGCCATGTTTTTATAAAAAAAAAAAAATAGTTTGATGCTTATAAACCAAGGTCATGATTCTAAGAGTAAATGCACTATTAATATAACCGAATATGTGTTTATAACCTGTCCACCATGAGGTTTATCATTTTGCACTAATGGTTCTGTTTGTAAAATGTTCTTAATCTGACTGTTTTTGTGAGACAAATAAAACAATGAAATGAATATATTTTTGAATGAGCTTTATAGTTCCCTGTGGGTTGGTGGGTGTGTGCGTGAGAACATTTTCACATCGTGACCTCTGATTTTGGACCGTGTTCTCTGAGCTTGGCCCTGTGGTGTGTATAAATGCTGCCATATTGGCTTTTCTTCAGAAATGTTTGTCGAGTCGTGTCTGGACGGTGTCTCCTGGGTGCAGGCGGAGAAGGTGTGTGTGTGTGTGTGTGTGTGTGTGTGTGTATTTGAAGCAAATAGACTAGCTGCATTTGTGGGTGGCTTATTTGTGCACATTTGTGAATGTATGCGTTTCCTTCCTCATTATTTTTACCCCTCCATATCTTCCCGTCCGAACAGCTTTGACATTCACTCTGTTCTGTTTTATATAATCCCACAACCAAGCTGCTCCCTGTTGCATCCCGAGGTTTCTCGCTCTTTACATATGTCCCAGCAGCAGGGGGCCCGTGTAGCAGGCCGTAGTCCAATTTCAAGACTGTGGTATACAAGTCAGAAGACAGGACGCCCTTTACAGTGTGTCTAAGGGGATCCCTGAGTGAACTTCATTGTGTACACTACAGAGAACAGATGCTCTTTACACCTGCTTTAAAATGTAGCCTGTAGTGTTTAAGTTTTAATGAGCTTCCTTTTAACGTCATGTGGAATAAATATATTATCTCCCAGCCCAATGCACAATGTTTACAATGTATAAAGGTGATTGCTCCCTGTTGCATCCCGAGGTTTCTCGCTCTTTACATATGTCCCAGCAGCAGGGGGCCCGTGTAGCAGGCCGTAGTCCAATTTCAAGACTGTGGTATACAAGTCAGAAGACAGGACGCCCTTTACAGTGTGTCTAAGGGGATCCCTGAGTGAACTTCATTGTGTACACTACAGAGAACAGATGCTCTTTACACCTGCTTTAAAATGTAGCCTGTAGTTTTAAAGGTTTCATGAGCTTCCTTTAACGTCATGTGGAATAAATATATTATCGTCCAGCCCAATGCACAATGTTTACAATGTATAAAGGTGATAGTTAATGAAGTCTCCAAACTTCTGAGCCCTTAATAGCAAAGCAGTCAATCATTAAAGGGAAGTGGAAAGAAAACTCATTAAACTTACAAGCATGAACTGCAAAGCAATTAACTCACAGGGAGGTCTAAAAAGGGACACAAACATTAGATATGGTCAATGACCCTGAAAACTGGGAAAACAATAAAACAGACCCTTATAAATGGCTTAATACAGATGCAATGTAAATAAAGTGCTGCGCTGTCCATGGTACTGAATGCCTTTGGATGAATCGGTACATTCTCAACCTGCCTGCCAAATTATAAACCATATTTTAACAATTGTATTTATTTTATTTTAACAATTTTATTGGACATTTTGGCTTCACTTTTTACAGAAAGGCTATTTACAGTCTATGAATCCAACACAATCTCACAGCAAGCTGATATTTGGCAGTGGCACTATGCCAAATTGGTGGATAATTTGTAAGAATTCACTGACTGTTAGGTTTAGGGGTAGAGCTTAACGAAAAATCGCACTCTTTCATACAAATTCACAAGAAAACTTGCCACCTCACAAAACAGTAAAGTTTTTTCGTGAGATCGAGTTGGTTAATCTACAGCTAATAGGCTACAGTAATAAAATGAAATTTACAACTCAAATAAATAATTTCATATAATAACAGGCTGGCTTCAAATATTAAGCTCAAAGTAGACTATATGGTGGCGGTTAACGCGCCTTGGGTGCACGAGCGCATCAATCACCGCCTCATTTTACTGGGAGGATCCCAATAAATGACGTTATTGCTGGCGTACGACTGCAGCGTAATTGGGCTTATACTAAATGAATGCACATCCAATAGACAAACAGTCCAAGCGGATATTATGAGCAGCCAGGGAAATATTTCCCCTAAATTACTCTTATGATTCAATGCGACATTAAGTTGACACTGAGTTGTTGACTTGCTTGCCTTTTTAATAACACTTTGGATTCACGATCCAAAAAGTTCTGGTTGACCTAACAGTGCTTCACTTCAGAAGACTCTCCTAATTCAAACAGTGCAGGTAAGGTACTTTTGCGTTAGACTCAAGGGAATAATTACCCAGAGGTTGTTTCAAATCTGTGAATTTATTCATGGAACACAAGAATATTAGAGGCTGATAGCTTCTGTCACCATTGCATTATGTAGGCTAAAGTGAATTGCGACAGGCTAACACCACATTTTGTGTTGCACAAAAGAAAAACAACTTAGTAGAGATTTGGAACAACATGAGAGTTAGTCCAAAATGACAATTTTAACTTTTAGTTGAACATTTACTTCGTATTATAGGTGCATAGGACCTTATGGAAATGTCCTTTTTATACAAACTTTCTTACAAAAAGTATTAATAAAGTTATCATTACGCAGAAAATATTAATATAAAAAAACGTATTAAAGTACTTGCCTTGTATGTATTCTCATGCGCCTCCGTTCAACAGGGCAACACGATGTGGCTCGCGCGGACCCTCTTCGCTCTGGCACTTCTTTGCGCACCGGTTTCCAGCCTCTGCTTACCAACGTACGACCCCGTGTCCAACTTTCTTTGCAACAATGAAGTGTTCTCTGAGACGAATGATAACGGGCAACCAGCAAATTCCCTGCTGGACAGTCTAAAACTCCTGTACAAATCAGCGCACTCGCTTTCCTCCGAGGAGCCACGCGAAAGGAGGACAATACCCGCGTCCAAATACAGATACTTGAGCCAGACGCAGCTCAGGAGTAAACTGTACCGTAATAGTGCGAAGAGCGACCGACGCAGCCAGGTCACTCTTTCCCTCGATGTCCCCACCAACATAATGAACATCCTCTTCAACATTGCCAAAGCCAAGAACCTGCGCGCAAAGGCGGACGACAACGCGCGCTTGCTGGCGCAGATTGGAAAGAGAAAATGAATTCCAATTTATGTCACTAATTTGACTTTAACAGATTTTTTTTGTTACCAACTGAGGCATGTTATCTCTAATTTAATAATGTAATAAAATATTTTTTTCAGTTGCATAACAAGCAATACTGAAAATTATTTGGGTTTTGATTTATTACCCACTAAACGCATACTGGTTTGGTCTTGTTAGGGCATGTTTGTCAGATTTAATGCTGTTTTACAGGAAACTATTTAAAATTGGCTCATTACCACAGTGAGACTCATGGCAATTGAAAACAAAAGTGTTTGGTTAATTTCTAAACTCGAGCTTTAAAGAGCCATAATGATTGGAGTATGTCTCGGAGGGAAGTAGCCTACGACATATTTTTTCCTTCCTCTCTCCCTTTTCATAAATACAATTTGTCTGTTCATCTCAGATGAAAGTTGACCTGATTAGTATTAAAAATGTCTGCTCTATAAGATACACGACTGTAAAGCCGATCTGTAAAGTTCTTAAAACTCTGGGTTGATAAAACCGACAGTTGAATATTTTTGTACTGAAAATAATTATTTTATCGTTTAACCCTTGTATGGTGTCCCCCCCCCACGTGATATATAAACACGTCACTCCTTTCACTTTTCACAACTACATTCTAGACAGACTCAATGCAATAGTTATAGAGACCATTGTTTATGCTGCTAGCAAATAGTTATGAATAATAAATATTTGATCACTTTTTCCAGATAGAATCTACGTTTTGGTGAATACTGAACAAAACGTGTAGGAGGGTTATACCGAATCATATAGGCTATGCTATGACATCGAGACCCACTGTTCAACGTTTGGTCTCTCAGAACAAATATTAAAATAAATATTATAGCCTACCTATATAGATAATTCTAAATAATTTATTGTTATATTAGAAATACATTACAAATGCATATTATAATTCGCAAATACGTAGAATTTAAAAGTTGTAAATTAAATGCATATGTAAATTAAAT